AGCCCCACCACACTGCGACCTTTGTGCGTGGGGTGCCGGGAGCCGCTGGCTCCCTCGCCGCCACGCCGGGCTGGCCCCGGGAACTGCTCGTCCCAGGGTGCGGGGGCACAGGCACACGCTTTGGGGACGGTGGCTCCCTGGAGCCTGAGGCAACGCGCTTCCCTGAGCGAAAGCTTTGGCAGAAAAGATCCTCGTACCTGCTAGGAAAGCCTTTCTGTCCCCTCTCCTCCTCCCCAGACATTATCCCCCAAAGTAAAGATGCCTCTATCATCCTGTCTTAAAAGGGGAGGATTACTCCAAGAGCTGTGATTATCAGAAGCATGAACCAAGCTCCATCAAACAAACCTGTGTTTTCCACAGGGACACATGGCACCCAGACCCATCCCAACAGCAAAACAGCACCGCAGGAGATGGAGAGCCACAGCGCCCTGTTACTGCCAAGGTCACGCAGGACGTGGGCTCCTGCACGGGCAAGACCCAGGCTCCGGTTCAGGCTAGCGTGCTCTGAAACCCCGCTGAGCAGTGAGCTACCAGCCCGCAGCTGCAAACACTCAAGAAAAGCACAATATTGCAAGTCCCACACCAGGGGCCCTGCAGCAGCGAGAGGCAGGCGGGCAAGAGGGCAGAGGATGCTCAGATGGCCCGTCCAGGACCTCCCAGCCCCCCCATGTGCTGCCCCGCGCCCCGGAGCCAGCCCTGGGGGCTCACAGACGCCCTGGCACTGCCCAGCCACGCTGCTCCGCTGAGAGAGCGGATGGAAGGGGAGGTCTCGCTGCAGAGGTGGCAGCACGAGAACAGACATAAGCACCGAGCTTGGCCACAAACACCAACCACAACTCCCCCTGGAGAGAGGGGTATGACGACAGGGGGGAGCTGGTCCCCAAAAGGCCAAGGGTGAAGGGGGAGCCGCGCTCAGAGGGGCAGCAGCCGGTGTGAGACACAAGGATTAAACCACATCAGCTCCTGTGCGAGGGCCGAGGGCGAGCGGAGGCAGCCCCGAGCAGCCCGCAGGGAAGTGGCAGAGGGCAGTTTAACTGACAAAGTGATTTCACAGCTCAGCAACGTCCTCCACTCCTCTCGATCAATCCATCGCAGCCACCCCGGCTGCAGCCCCCGCATCCCTGGGCGCAGCAGCTCACAAAACCCGACGTGCGGAGCTCTGCCCCTGCAGCCTCTCGCCCTCTCCCCGGCTCGAGGAGAGCAGGAGGGTGCGACCGGTGGTTGCAAAACAGCACAGTGATAATCTTGTGCTGCGTAGGCATGAGCCAAGGGGACAAACTGACTCTTTTGAGGCTGCAGTGCAGCCCTCTCCCCCCAAAGTGATTCAATAAAATCAAGGTGTCACTCAAGTGAAAGCATAGCCCTCTGCAGAGCACACGGCCCCCAGGACTGGCGTTTGAACCATCCAGGCCATTAACCACGAAAAACGTGGCAGGCGTTATTCAAAACAAGTGACTTCTCCTCCTTGACCCCACCCTGCCTTTCCGCATCCGGAGCGGAGAGCCGAAAAGCAGAAGGTGCACACTGGCTCCTTCCCCTGGGCCCCGGCCTCGGGCGATCCCGGCGGCGGCTCGCAGAACTCCTTTAGTGGCGAGCGGGTCGGCGTTTCTGCTTCAGGGGTCTCAAAATTACCTTCGGAGTCCGAGCTGCCGAGGGGGGGGAAAAGAGTGAGGAATTACCGCTTTCAGGGCTAGCTCTGAAATCCTCCACACTGCCTACGCATCCAGCCAGACCGGCTCCCCCG